GAACCACTGTAAAACAGTGCCTTCAAACCCCAATGCTTGTATGTGGTTTAAAAGGATACCAAGTTCAAGAACTTCCTCTCTGAAAGAACTGTAATTTGTTTTTGGAAAACATCCTTCTCCCCTAGGTACATGGGGGGTATGTACCCCAACAGCTGTTGGTCTCTTTTTTTTCTTCTTCAGAATCAAAATATAATCCCAGGAATCTAGGATGACCTCTAAGGGATCCATTGGTTTACCTGCCACCACCAAACCCTCTCTGAAAGAACTGTAATTTGTTTTTGGAAAACCTCCTTCCCCCCTAGGTACATGGGGGGTATGTACCCCAACAGCTGTTGGTCTCTTTTTTTTCTTCTTCAGAATCAAAATATAATCCCAGGAATCTAGGATGACCTCTAAGGGATCCATTGGTTTACCTGCCACCACCAAACCCTTTCCTGCTTTGGAAATTGTTTGTTTTTGTGATTTGGTGGAATGTACAAAAGGTATAGAGCAGCATAGTCACTTTTTTTTTAACGAATTGTCCGCCAGTATTATATACGCTCGGGAATCAACTTGCCCCATCTCCATTATACCTTTTAAATCATATTTGCCTTCCTGTTCCAAGATTTCAAGCTATTTAGTTCCCATACTCTAGCCAGTGTTTCTCAACCTTGGGAACTTTAAGATGTATGGACTTCAATTTCCAGAATTCCCCAGCCAGCCATGCCAGCTGGGGAATTCTGGGAGTTGAAGTCCATACATCTTAAAGTTCCCAAAACGGAGAAACACTGCTTTAAGCATACAAATTAAGGCGATCCAGACCATGAACACGATCAGTCATTGTTCCTTATGACCTTTCTTTAAATCATAGAATTATAGGACTGGAAAGGACCTTGGATGTCATCTAGTCCAACTCTTTGCCCAGCCAGGAATCTTCATACCATCCTTGACAAATGGTTGGTTTAATAAACCCCATTACAACAGCACTCCCACTTCCTTCTGCAGTGCACTATCAATATCAAGATAATACCTTAACAGATGTAGGTTATTCCTGGAAAACATCATTAAGTTCTTCCCAACTCACCACAGTTGCTCTCCCCATTGCTTAGGTATCGCTGTATCAAATTTTCCATCCACAGTTGATAGCAAATGCAACGCTTTGTGATGGGGTCACAGCGTCCATGTCCAGAACACTTTAAGAGGCAAGCTGGAAATCACAAAGCAACTGAAATTATTTATGTACTTAAAATTAAGTCTAGGCCACTTTTAAGGGTGAAAACTACCCCTGATATTTTTCTTGCCCTGGACTATGGCATTCAAATACGTACCAGCTGTGTCAACACGAAGCACTTTAAAAAGTAGAAAATCTGGCTTTTCCTTCAAGAGTTGCAAATGCAGCATTTGTGCAACATCTGAAGCCTTTATGATTTTGTATGGATGCCCATTCTGAACATAGAACACAACAGCAGTGCTGAAGGGAAGATACATAGATTAAATATCAATACATTTGTTACAACAAGAAGAATTCTTTAGCTGGGATTAACACCACATACTGCAATTAAGATTCTTTCTTCTTGGAATAACCCCCTAATTGTAAATATATAGTTGGCTGCTCGTAAAGCTGCTAAGTTTCTGTCCCATGAAATAAAACAAGGAAAACTAGACATTGCAAAGCATAAAGTTCCAGAACTGTAGGATTTAATTCAGATATCAGGCTGCTTTATCAGAAATGCAGAAACCCACTTTTGGATTTAGGTCCCAAGCTGAAGGTGAGGCCAAAGTTTAATACCCAGTCTTACAATGTCTACTCTGAAATTCAGTGGGACTAATACCCAAGTAGATGTGTATAGAATAACAATATATACTCTGTGTGTGTGTATTATGGTTTCCCTACTTTCTTGTACCTGATATCAGAATAAGCATGTATCTTCTGGATATTAATTTCTGAATCTAAGACATCCAGGAGTGCTGCTAGCTGTTGTACAAGGGTATCTTTCTGTTGTTCAGTCAGCTGACCAACTTCAACTTGCAAGATCAGCTCCACAAGCCCGTTTTTCTTTGGGTCTGTAAGTGAAAAAAATAATGTTTTTCCTCAGAGCCTGCCAAGTGGTGCCTAACTACATGGAGGTAATATTTGGAGGTAACTCCTAGCTAACCTTAGTTAGGTACTTGAATGAGAAACTGCGAGGGAATTCCAGGGTTTCAAGCTAGATTGAAAAGTTTAAAAAACATCTTGGAAGATGGCAACCACCTCCATTATGTTGACAAGAAAACCACATGGAAGTGCCCATTAGTCAACGAAAGTTCAAAGCATCTGATTGGATGATACTTCTGATATGCTTTAAGCATGTGCCATGAACTGCAATGGAAATGCGAAAGTTCGGAATGCTACCATAAAAACTTCTGCATCAACAGGAAATCTGACCCAAGGACTAATTATTTGGATTGGGGAGATCTTTAGCCATTTTGCCAAAGAAAAGGGATTTGGGAACAACACAAGAAAATAGCTTAGGCTATAAATGTCTTAGGAAACAGTTTACCAGGCCGCACTTCTACAATTGCTGTGTCAATGTCTGAATCTCCTTTGCCATCAGTGACTTTCAAGTGAAACATGTAGGTCCCTTCTACAAGATTAGTTAGCTGTAATACAGCCTCACGATTGGAGCTAAGAATCACATCCTGCAAAAGCAAAGGAATTGGCACTCAAAGACCACTTTCAAATTCATTCTTATCTGAAGCCAATTATTTGATAACTCTCTGTTACCAGGACTATCTCTCAAAATGTTGTTGCCTGATCAAACAGCAGTTGCCCTCACCCACATTCACACTTACTCCAATCAAGATTCATTGTACCCAAAGTTAATTGAGCTATTATGACATGTGAGACATAAAGTCCCACAACTATCTCTCTCTGCAACTGGCAGTGACAGCCAGCCTGAATGCCATAAAATTGGTCTAGGACACATTGGCTAACAGGTATGCCGCAAAGTACGTATCCTCAAAACCATGAATCTTTTTTCTTTACTCCTATTCTAAGAACAGAAGCGTCTCCAAGTGATTTGCCTGAGATTATTCTACCAAAATCTAGTTGAACCCTCAATCTGATGGATCATATTGGCTTCAAATTCATATAAACAGTAAAAAGTAAAGATAGCTTGATTAAATAAACACAGAGAAATATTCCATTTGGCCTAATTAGATAATTTAAATACTTACTCCAGCTGCTGGACTCTGTCCATCCCGGATCCAAAGATAAGACACAATTCCTTGATCATCAACAGAGTGGGACCCATCTAAAGCAATTGAGTTATTGGGGAGGACAAGGATATGTTTTCCCCCTGCAAGGGCCTGGGGTGGAGAGTTGCTACCTAAATATAACAAAGGGAGATACTTGTTCAAACAAGAAAAGAGGATGATAATGCAGACATAGCCCAAATGCTATGCTTATATTAAGAAAATTCTCAGAATGCAGGGGAATTAAACTTAAATGCTGAAATGATTTATCAAAACAGCCCCAACCATCTAGGAAGCACCAAACTGCCTGTCCCTGGTTAGACAATGGGATTAGGACTAGAAAGATTAAAATAGCAGCCATAAATATCTAAAACACGGGAGATTAATAGAAACACAGGCCACTTATTCAGGAAATATCTTCAAAAAATTAGGACAGAAAACCTTACCCTCCTGAACAATCACAGAAAGTGTGGCGGTGCTGCTGAGCCCTTGATCATCTTTTACCGTCAGTCTGAAATGATAGGTTCCAATCTGTAGATCTGAGACAGTTGCTACTGCACTATCAGCATCCTCTATGTGCAAGGAACTTGGCCCACTGTAGCAAAAAAACAAAGCAGCCCATCATGCTGGATCCAGTTTCAGCTCAAAACTTAGAAGTATTGTTGCAAGCTACTGGGGCATCCTAGGAGATGATTGGAGTGTCAGGTTTTAGTTCTTGGTTTTAGTTTTGTTTTTATCATTTTAAGATTTTATGATTTATAGTTTTACTGTGATTTTTTATTATTATTGTGAGCTGCCCAGAGTTATGTTTTAAGATGGGTGGCCATGCAAATCTTTTAAATAAATAAAATAAAATAAAATAGTACCACAAATCCTAGCAACAATGACATCCAGGATGTCACAATTCATCACAGTAATTCCCAAAATTGGTAAGCAGCTCAAATCTTTTAGCTACTAATATAGCAGTTCCTTACAATTATATCCATTCATTTGCACAAAATTTTACAAACTCCCTTACAAATTGATATAAAGGAACATGGCTTTGAAAAAGGTCAAATTAAAAGGGAAAAGCCTTTGCATTTTTTCATGTTTCATTCAATAGCTGAGTGCCCAATGAACAAATTCAAGCCGTATGCATAAAATAATATGATACTGAAGAAAACAGAAAAAGTTGAGTTTGAGTCAATAATCCAAAAATCGTTTATAAGGGAGTAAGCCTCAATGTACATAATGCATCATATTTCTAAGCAAACCTAAGTTCAGGTTGCAAATATCCAAGTTACGTTATTCACCATTATTTCAGTTACATGTCATCATAGCAAAGGTGACGGACATATCTTCACAGAAGCACAGAATTCTAGAAATTAAAATGGCATTGTGAACACTATTTGGAATAAACGCTTGGTGAACTAATGGTCCATGAGATTCTTCAAAAAACAGTAATCCCAGGAGAAAGCAAATTTATCCCAACTGAATTATGAAAAGTACTATTGCTCTATTACAACCCTTTCCCAGATTTCATCAATGTAACAAAGTTAATGGACAGGTATTAATATAAAGTGTGGCATGTTTGGCACCTACTTCACCATCACCTGCCTTGGAAACATGTTATTTTTTCCAAGAGGTCACAGGAAACAGCATGGATAATGTTCCAAACTAGAAATAGGTGATTAAGAACGATTAAGATTCCCTGTTCAAATCATACAACCAGCATGATTTCAAATGGATGCATCTACAGTATGGGTAAGGTGGTGGCCACAAGTACATAGGCAAGGCCGCCATCCTCACTTTTATGAAACCTCCCCCAACTCCCTGGAGACACCCCATACGCAATATCAGTTTACTTTGTCTCCCCACTCTCCTTGCCCCCCTAAGCTTTTTCAATTCTTAGCATTATCAATAATGTTATCTGTGCCTTGGAGTGCATCTTCCCTCCGTACAAAATACCTGATATTCTCCCAGTGATAGTAAACAATCCCTAAGTCATCAGTGCTCATGCTTCCATCAAGACTAGTGCTCTGGATAGGAAAAGTCAGGACTTTATCAGGGCCAGCCACAGCTGCTGGAGGTTTGTTTTGTCCTGTAACAGAGACAAAAATAAAATCCAAATGCTCTTTCTCTATATATTGATGAGGTCTATTTCCTCCTCCATAAGGAGTTACTGGAATTTTAACATCAGTAAAGAGAACAGGAAGAATACAGGATTTATCATATTGCTCTATTGCACCCCTCTGGTTCTGGCCAGAAGAGAAGATGAACCAAACATCCTCACTGAATGTAAAGAGGAACACACAAGTATCCAACCTATCCTCGCCTAGTGCCAGAGGATCTTTCCTATTCACTTCCACTGTGATAAATCAGATCACTGTCATTGCCCAATGATAGGACCAAAAGAGAAATAGCGATCCAATCAGATCCCATCTCAATTGCTGCCATCAAAATACCATGATGATGCCTGCAGCCTGCAGTAGCCAGGCTGCTTTGCAAGCAGGTTATGAAGCTAAAACCCAAAAAACCTGAATGTACAGTTCAAATATCTTGTCCCAGATGTCTTGACATGCAGTCAACTGCAATCACCTCCCACACCGGTTACTGAGAAGTTATAAAAATATAAGGTTATTTGCGGATATTTAGAAGGAAATGTATCAAAGTCATCTTCTTCCCCCAAAGTGTCTCTGCCTTCAGAGACATCAACTGAGGAGAGGGTTTTTACAGTTATGGTGACCACTTCCAATTCCATTCTTTTAATTTCTATTTCTATTGCTGTATTATTTGTGTGCCCATTAAACCTCAAACAGGAACAATAATACTGAAGGATGGGATAACTGCCTTTCCCTAAGGTATGCTATACCACAATTCCCAGCATTCCTGACCAGCATAGCCACAGAGGGCTTGTAAATCCAATCTAACTGGGCAGCCTGAGATTGGTGAAGGTTGAGGTGGAAGTTTCTAAAAACATGGCAAATAGATTGCTCTATGAGTGATACTGATTTTATGTGTTTGTTTTTATATCTATAGCTCATTTCTTAACCAAAGTGCTTACAGACAAACTAAACATTCAGACATAAAAGAAACGGATCCTTATAGAGAAGTTGGCAGAAAAAGGAGGATACAAACAAATTGAAAAAGCTGAATGTTAAAAAGCCAAATAAACAAAGAAAGTAAAGAATCACCACCTATCCATGAAAAGGATATGTGCCTCTCTAGTTGTGGAAGAGGACAACACTGATCTCTCCCCCAACTCCATTTACGACTCTCTCACACTATGCTGGTCTATAGCTGATATAAAGACTTGATCTGACCCTCTTGCACAGGCCAGTTGGCTTTTCATCCAGAGCAGTGGAAGGCTCAGCCCTTCCAATTCAAGAATCTTGTGTGTGACATCATCTGGGTTTCTCCCACAAGGCAGATGTATTGCTCCCATATAGGAGACTTGACATATGCAGTCAGTTCCCACAGCCCAATTTCTATTCAGTGCAGGTACCTGTAATGGACACTGCAAAGCAGGCCACCATTCTCTCCTGCTTTTAACATGAAAGTCAAATACATCAGCTTACGAGCACAGATGTTCTACTATGTCAGGCAGCTATATGATGGCCTACCAGGCTGAACTGTTACTGTGACTTCAGCTGTGGACTTCTGTTCTGTAGAATCCGTTACCGTCAGTTGGAATGTATATTTTCCCTCTTGCATTGAAGACAGCTGAAGGTATGGGCTGCTCACACCCTAGAAAATCACACAGAGGACATAAATCAGAGGTGAGAAAAAAAGTGCAATATAATACTGTATGCTTTTCCATTTGAAATATGTTTGTTGTTTGATCATCCTTATAAACATTGATACAGGGTATGCACACTGCATTAAGCCATCATGTGGCTTGTTTAGCTCTGGTTTAGAACATTGTACAGATACACTCACTCTGTTTTGTAAACTATGGTTTATGATTTAGCATGTTGTATCAATGCAGCACATTATGTTTTATCCAATAAACCATGTTTAAGCAAATTATGGCTTAGCATGCATGAAACCAAACAGACTCTCATAACTTTAACACAGTTACATTTCAAATCAATTAAAATGGACATCAAATCTAAAAGCAGAACACATTTCATATATATTAGGCAAATAAATGTTAGAGTACTCTATGCAATTTGCTGCTTAATACTTGACAGGTAACTTTTGGGTAAGGTATGTCTATTTGTCTTTTTTTAGCAGAAGCTCCATCAAGTTGGAACATCCCCTGCCATGTTAATACAACTTAACATGTGTGGCTGGTAACATGCTCATAAGTCATGTAATGTCACTTTGGGAACTAAGACCCAAAGCATCCTCTGGAGCCCTACCCAGAGGAACTGGAACTGCAGGCAAGTTTAATCATAACCTTATTTCTCTACAGAGTTAGTTCATCTACATTCTATATTTCTTCTGTTGTGGATCTCAAGGCAGAATGCATGGGGTTTCCACGTAGATTCTTATCCAAGTGTTGTTTAGACTCAAATGTGCTTAGTTTTAGCAAGTGATTGTCTATGCTTTCAGATAATGCCCTGTTTTTTTCACATTCTCACATAACAAGGTAGGGCCCTTCAGATACACTGCTACATTTTTGTCCGTGGTTGTATCTAATTCCTTTTATACTATTCTACCCCTATCTCCCAACTATAGCAACTGACCTGCAAGTATTTTCTGAATGCTTCAAACAAGTTCTAAAAATCAGAAGTAATCTCTCTGTTTAGAAGCTGCTGTTCAACCCTTGTAAAACTTAAAAGTTAAAATGTATTTAGATAGTCAACTAAAGACCAGGCACCAATGCAAGCATTTCAAAGTAATGTTCAAGTAATTTCAGTGCTAGCTTCAGCATGTTTTTTGCCTGCTTCACCACAAAATTCCTTTTCAAAATTAGTTTCAGATATAATACAAATGGTATGACATGAAGCAAGATGTCCTTCAGTTACCTGCATTGCTACCACTATGCCTTTACTTTTGGGACTCAGGGACCACTCGTAGTTGACAATTTCATGATCATCCTTACTCTGGTTTCCATTTAATGTAATGAAATTTTGAGGCAAACTAATTTCCTGATCTGGTCCAGCACTGGCAACAGGAGGAGAATCCAATAGATTGTTGACTCTCAAGGAAGCTATTGTGGAGTTAGCTGCTCCATCAGAATCAGTGACGATTAGCCTGAATAACAACAAAAATAATATGTGGACAATTCATATACCTAGATGTCTGCCCTTATCTTAACCACATCTCTTAGCTGGAAAAAATATGTATGCAGGCTATAATTCCATGCACATTTAACTGGGAGAAAGTGCCACTGAACTCGTGACACTGCTTCTGAATAGACACTCACAGTTTTGACTACAGTGCATTACTGGATATGATCTGGCCCTTTGACCAATTTCAGCTGACCCTGTATCTCCTCCTGATCTAATACATTTGAATCAAAGTGTATATTGATACAATATTATGTTCATAGACACACCTTTAAGAATAAGAAATTATGCTTTTGTGTTTATTTTATGATAGGATCTCAAGCACATTTGAGAAAAGACAAATGCTGGTTCTCTCAGCCTGCCGCTTGAGAAAATCTCTGAAGCTATAAAGTCAGAGATTCAAACTACACAAAAATGGAATAAATCTGGGGCTAAGGAGGTAGTCTCCAGAATTACTCATTCTGTTTATGTGGATGGTTTCTTCTAGAGCAGCCTGAGAGGAGAATGAGAAATTATAAACATTTTTTTCTCCATTCATGACTCTCTGCTCAATCCTGTTGCTTTCCATGAGTAGAAGGAGCTCTTCCATTGATGGAAAGACCAATCTGGATCCAACCCTAAACATAAAGAACTGAGTAGTTCCTATAAATGCAGAAGTAGAGACTCCTTGGCTTAATTTGTAATTTGTTGAGAAAGCAATAATTAGAATCACCCACCTGAAAGTGTAATTCCCAGGAATAAGGTTAGAGAGGTATAAAACAGGTGTATCAGCTGATGCCTTCTTTTCCCGCAAGGGACCTTCAATTTCTTCCCAGTGGTAACTCATTATTTTAGTATCATCTATGCTTTCTGTGTTCAAGGGAAATATCACAGCCACAGATCAATAAGCAAGTATCTCTGTAAGTACTTATTATTATACTAGGGGTATTTCTTGTCAAGAAAATGCTGTGATTTTTTTATCTGTACATTGGCTTGATTCATAAAAAGCACTTACTCCCCCAATTTTTCCTCACGACAACAGCAACCTTGTAAAGTAGGTTGGGCTGAGAAACAGCATCTGATCCAAAGCCATCCAGTGAGCTATGGATGAAAGCGGACTTTTTAATCATGGTTTTCCTAGTCCAACCCCTTAATTTGTAATTATATTGGTTCTCTACCAGAACTAAGTTTTCCACATCACTGACATGCTGGCAACTCATAGAATATGCCAACATCTGTCTGATGACAGACTGTTTATAAAAAGGTACAGATTTAGGAAATTACATTTAAAAATAAATGGGGAAAAGTTGTATCAGAAAAAGGACATCTTTGAGAATGTGTGCAGGAAGAAATAACATGTATTAGGGAAAACAGAGTAAGGTGCTTTCCTATCTATCATCTATCTGTCTGTCTGTCTGTCTGTCTGTCTGTCTGTCTGTCTGTCTATCTATCTATCTATCTATCTAAATATGGAAAAAAATTGTAATTTCTTAAAAAAAAAAAGGTGACAATGGAAAAGAATGGAATAATGTTTGAATCCATGCCATAATGACTTAGATTTAAACTGATTTCCACATCCCTATATTATAATGCAAAGCAATTGTTGCAGCTGGTACTTACGATTTCCATCGATGAGGGTAGAGGTAGTAGGATAAGAAATCTCCTGTACTTTGGGAGAGACAATAGCAACAGGTGGCTGATTTATTCGGATTGCTGGATAAAGATGAGAACCAGAATATCTCGTATAATTAAATAAACCCACTGCATGCATTTCAAGACCATGCCTATTAAACAACCAGAAACCACTCCCTGTTCATTGAAAATATTAAATTCTTGAGCAAGTAAAAAATAGATTTTGAGCAATATCAGATAAAAAAAAAAGATCACTGCAAATTACTATTTGCAAAACAAAGAAACAAACAAACTCACCCTTATGGTTCACCCCAAATGAAGTAAATTGTATCAGGCTGGGATTTTGTGATGCTGGGGTGGGCCAAACAGTAAACAGCAGTCGAGCAATCATAATTTTCACAAAAGCAGTAATTGTTTCAATATCCTGTTTTGTCCCTTATGTGAACAAACTCTATGATAATCCTGCACAACTTTTTGGGGGGGGGGCCAAGAGATGCATCTTTCAACTAGCATGCCAGAAATTGCCTTTCATAAAGAGAGCAGGACCTCATCATGCATCATTAAATGTTAATTTATTAACAGAATTAAATAAATTTAAACATACCTGTATTATTATTATTATTATTATTGTTGTTGTTGTTGTTGTTGATGATGATGATGTTATTTTATCCTGCCTTTCTATTTGGAGAGCATTCAAGTTAATATGGTTACTCCCCGTGTATTTAATAATTTCTCTTCTCTTCTGAATCAAAAATTATAGTTCAGCACCAACCTTTGGAAGGGGCTCAGGAGGCTACATCTAAGATTTGGTGGGAGACATGTGAATCCAAGGTGACTTGATGTGTCCTATCTAGGATTGTTACAAATAGGTGGGAAATGATGAGGCAGAGGGCATACATGCAGAGGAAAAAAGTCATATTGCCAATTCAAGCAAATTAGCAATGCCTGGTGTTTAACATAGGCTGCAAGTACTTAAATTCAGCTAGAAGTAAATCATATGCTTGGCAACGTGATTTTTTTCCTCTTTCAACTTCAAAATTAGTAAGTACTATAGACCAAAAGAAGAAGATTCAAAGCAGGCAAAATTTCTTTAGGTGCTCACCCGGAGAACTGCCCTCCCTCTTATAATAACAAATTACAAGGACGAATCCACAAGGACACCTTCTGTCTTAAAAAGAAACGAGAGGGATAGGAACTTTTCACTGTTATTTCTTATCTGATAACATTTGGGAATAATAAAGTATCAACAGTGAACTTGCATTCAAACTCACCAGAACAGAAATTAATTGAACTGTCTGGAAAGCACTTTTACCTGGTTGGACAGTGACGTTTACAAATCCTTCTCCAAATGCATTTTCAGCAGAAACAGTCACTCTGAAGACATAGGCACCTTCTGGCAGCTGATAGAGAAACAGTGTGTGGGATTGGTGTATTAATTTTAAAGAGAATTAGGGCATCTTAAGGGCATAGCACAAATCACTCTGAGATGTGTGAGTCTACTCATATCAAATCCAGAATATGAATGTGCCCAGCACAGCCTTCCCTGCCCAATTGTCCTCCAGAAGTGTGGAGGCTGCCACTTTCTAATTCCCAATCAGTATTGTTGGAGAAGACTTCTCCAGGCCTGGACTATTACCCAGAATGGTCAGAAAATTGTTTAGGAAGAAAACAATTTAGGAAACTATAGGCAGGTCTGTCATAGCCAGCATTTAGAACAAAAATGTAATCCACCTACAAACCTATCAATACCATGACGAAATCTGGAAGCATGTTTGATATGATAGACTCTCACCTTCTCAATGCAATGTCCCCTAAGACAATTGGCTGGTCATAGGTAGAAACAGAAGCCTAATCAAGAAAACTCTTGGTTTTTCCCAACTTAGCAATTACTATATTCTTATAGATCTGTGGCACTGAAAGCTGAACTTGATGGCCTGATTCAATAAGGCCCTTCTTATGTTATTGAGTCCTGTTCTGTGCATTTAGAATCTGAAAAATAACAGAAAAAATGTCACCTTTTTCTCTGTCAATGCCCATCACTACATATTAACTTCTCTTCTAAACTGAGATAACCAATCTGCATCTTATAGCCAAGCAACCCCTGCCCACTCATGTCTGGCCATGATAACTGGACATCTGAATTGGACTTCCAACTGGCTGAACATCTCATGCATCATGGTTCCATATGATTGGAAGTCATGGTTGTGTTGGCACCCACATCCATAGATCAGGAATCCTTCTATATGAATAACTGCTCATTGATTGAGGTTCTTTTTCAAGCAGCAACCATGATTGTTTTTAGAAAAACAACTTTAAAACCATTCAGTGAGGATTACACATAACAGAAAATGTGAACACTTCCAGATACCCAGCACTTCATACAAGTTTGATTGGGCAAGGAGCTACTTACTTGAGAAAGTTTTAGAGTTGGTGTGTGCCTGTCCTTCATTTCACCATCATAGCTATCAGGATAACTAATCAAGCTCCATTCATAAATATAGTCTGTTTCTAAAAAAAGAAAATGCAGTACAATTAACTATGCCTGCTAGAATGTAAGAGAGACATAGCCCTAGACATTTTCATGGGATAGAGGAATTGTAACCCTTTCTCCCACATTCCACAATTTCTACCATGCAAGACGTTCTTCCCTGACCTGGTATCTCCTTTTGATTATGCTGTCTTGGAATTCTAGGAGCTATAGTCCCAAATCACATAAAGACACCACCTCGGGGAAAGCCAGTATAAAATATGAGCTAAGTAATTTCAGGGATATCCGTTCCAGCAATTGTATTTCTCTCTCACAACTCTGGAATGCACAAGCAAAACTACTACACAAGAGACATAACTGATGTCTAGAGAGAAAGTCTCATACAACAATCAGGCATCATACAAAGTTGCTAATTTATTCATATAATTCAGCTGGAATGTTTTCATGACAGGATTGCTGACTTTAACTTTGTCATTTGTTTTCCTCAAACAATTTAATTCTAATTTTTTTTATTTAATAAAATACTTCACTCCTTTGCCTGTTTTTTACCTGAGCCTTTCTGCTTCTTTATTTTTTCTACACACACACACACACACACACACACGGGGTGTGCAAATATCTGATTTTGAACTGTTTTGAGTACAAAACTTAATGAAACATCCCACCTTGAGTATGAAAACAGGTGAGTATGAAGTGCAAAATGCTTTCCCAATACTTCAAAGAAGACATCATGTGAAGCTGATGTTTTGAAAGTGTTTTGACTCACTTTTTTTCAATGAAATATCAGTTTCAGTACTCAGCATGAGCCATGTTGACCAACAACATTTATGTAAACATTCTACTTGGTGTAATTTTTTACTCTGAAGATTTAATATTTGCATACTTTAAAATTTGATGATAAGGAGCTGGCTCAGAACAGATGAAACGATAACACATGGCTTCTTACATATAATTTATTATATGCATGCACCATCATGAACCTTATGCTCACCCTTCATCCACTCTCATACTAGGCCCCCTACTTCTGGCACGAGAGGGAAGAACTGAAAACCTTGATTTGCACTTCATCCATACTGAGGCAGGAGCTTTTAAAAAATCATTATTCACAAACCCAAATATTAAATTAGGTTCTGCCTCAGTAGACTCTTCTTATAGGTTTAGTAAAATGTATTCACTTGAATGACAGTGAAACCTTTTTTAAAATCTCCATCCTACTTGCAGTATGAACTTAAGTGAAAGTGCTAGTATCACTACTAATGCATACAATTCAACTTCATTTTTTGGTAAAGTTTTTTGAAGATTACCTCCACCCTACATCTGTAGTTCTTTTACTGCGCATAAATTAGAGTGGAGGAGTGTTATTTGAAAACTGAAGGACAACTTTTATTAATACAGTTTGATGGCTAGCATTTGTTAACATATTGAGTGAGTAAAGCTTAGCAAGGATCTTCCACAGGTAGGTAAGTAGGTAGGTAGATAGATAGACAGACAGGTGTGTGTGTGTGTGTGTGTGTGTGTGAAGGTGAGCCAGAATAATTAATATTCTGTGTAAGTGATATGATTTGATTTTGAATCACATAGTTGTCTAGGTTATTCCAACATGCAGGCATTTTCTTTTGAGACAAGAACAATGGCTGATTAGCTCTCAGTTTGAATTTAACTGTTGATGCTTCTCTTCTTTTTAAATCAGGCTTGCATAATGCTCACCAAAAATTATTAGCCAACAAACAATTCTACCAGCTCTATGTTAGGGTTTTAGTAAAGTTCTGGACAATTCTGTATAATGGTGACGTACTATTCCCAACAACAAATACACATAAAATAATGAAATTTTTGGTATTTTAAAACTTTAAAAGTAATAATTTAAGGGTGCTACAGACACTATTTTGGAGTACAATCCTCTGTTCCTGATCTCTGGTTTAGGCTAACCGTTTGTGGTTCATAACAATTTCAACTTTTCTCTTTTTTCTTATTTCCATATGGAACAGAATTAAATTGGAACTATGTGGAAAACTTTGGAGGTATCACTTCAGAATTCAAGCCAGTGATCAACTTTTTTACAATATCTCCATCCCCCCAAAAAAGAAAAGAGCAAGAAAACACACACCTCCTGGAAACAGAATAAAACAGACCATTTGGAGCAGGCTAGACTACAACCCTTCTTCTTGCTGTGCTAATTTTAAAAAAAAGAAGCAAAAAGTATGGGGAAGCATTAAATAAACAATACAAATCCAGAGACAAACCAAAAAAGAACATTGACTATCTCATTTGGCTGAATGTTTAAACCAGGATTTCTATCTGTTTGCTTGAAGGCAATTCTTTTATTTGTCATTATTTAGAAATAATTAAATAATAATTCAGACTGCCTTTCCATTAAGATATAACAAAAGTCAACAAGAATAAGGAAATGACTGACCAAAGTAAAAATAAAGATTAAAAATGATCACAACATAAATAAAAACACATCAGAGATTAAAATTTTGGAGACATCTGGGGGGAAAATAGTTTTTTGCCTATTAAATAAAAGACATCAGTGTCTCAATAGTATGAGCTTCTCAGAGAAAAAAGTTACACAGTGATGCCTTCTCCATGGTCACCATCTGCTTCAACAGCAGCAGCAGCAGCATCTGGAGGAGAACCTCCAGGAAGATCTTAGTTTCTGGCAATTAAACAGAAAAATATACCTTCAACATCACAGTCTTAAACCAGGAAGGGCTTTCAGCGGCCACTTCCAAACACTGAAGTTATGTTTATTTCAACAGCTGAAGAGATACGGATTATGAATATACTCTCAAAATCTCAGTCATAATGAATCCATAATGAATTCAGTCATCATGAATTACCTGCTTTGGTTGTAGCAGTGGGAAACACAACTTCATCTGCAGCACAAGGTGCAGTGCTATGAGCACTGGTGGGAAATGTTGTGGTTTCACTTTGTATGAAATTATCTAGGTTTGACATTTCAGTTTGTGCTGGGGTGGTGGAGAGAAATTCCATAATGCCTGAAGAAGGAGGATTATGGGGAGGTGTTACAACCTACAAGACAAATTGCAGGAATATACCATTATTGTAATTTCAAATACATTCTGCCTCACAGGTTGAAAAATAAGAATGTATTTGAAGATCCAGATTCAAAATTCTATTCTAGCTAGAATCAACAACATTATCAGCAAATACTGTGCTGTGCATTCCCAAATTCTAAGAAATTGCACAAATTATGTATTTGCGCAAACAGGTTTCTGAGATGCTTCCAATTCCATTACAAAAACTGAACTGAAATAGGGTGAAACCCTGGGCAATACGCAAATATGCCTGTAAACTCAAAAGAAAAAACTCCATCTGCAGAGAAAGAAAGAAAGAAAGAAAGAAAGAAAGAAAGAAAGAAAGAAAGAAAGAAAGAAAGAAAGAAAGAAAGAAAGAAAGAAAGAAAGAAAGAAAGGCAGGCAGGCAGAGGAAAGTAGATATGGGACTAGCAGTTACATGGAATATTACAAAATATTAAAAATGCCTTTGATCCGATAACATGCTTACATATGAGATGGACACAGTACTACTGCATCTTCTCCATTTGAGCTCCTCTCCAAAAAACCATGCAAAATAATCAGTAAGAAATAGAAAGTGTAAACACAGGCACCATTGTCTTAAGTTGTCCAACTTTCACAAAGCACACTTATTGTGGTTAATTCAAGGCTGGCTCTGAAAAGTCAACCCTTACATGGGCCACAATTAAACAACCAAAACAAAGACTGCAAAAACAAATATTACCTTATTAGATCAGGCCAAAACCCCATTACCAGAACAGGCTTATATTTATAAACATTTAGCAATTTGATCCCAGTGTCGTTGTAATGACCTTCTCACAAAAAAAGAACCATAGTAGCTGCTTTATTTTGCTAAGTATGTTAAGAATACCCTGTTTTTATTTTTTTTTATTTGCTACATTCCAAAAAAAAAAAGAACATATGACAGCCATTAAAACCATATCTACTGAAGGCCTTAGAAGAACTTACTTATTTTCTGATGCTAATCTTCTGTCCTTATTATAAATAGTTAGGTCAGAATTAAGTACTGTAATATCTCGAGCCTCTTTTTCATGCCACTGGAGTTCCCAAAGACTTTACCCCCAAAATCTGGAAGCAAACCCATGCACAGAATTGGCTTATGGCAGCAGAGAACTAAAACCTAAGTGGAAACACCTCACTTCCTCTTGTAATATCACTACATCATCACCATATGCCTTGGCTCAGAGAGTTATGGTTGTTCTTATTTACAGTGCAAATATCTGGATTGCTCCAACTTGACTCTTACTATCAGCAAAAGTAGCCAAAATGAAGTACTCCAAAGCCATAGCTGAGTGCTGTGGCCAAGCTAGAACTCACACATTTATTCCTCTTGAATGAATCTAGAATTGGAAGCAAAAATTAAATTTTATCTTCTTATCTGGCATATGAGGGTAGCAACAAACCGAGTCTAGATTATCATTAAATATTTGTTCCCTGATGAATTTCTATTTGATTTAACCATTACTGGTAATGGACAAGCTTCCACAGAGTGTGTTTCAGGTACATTTGATGGTTTAAATGTTTCCTTTTAATGTATGCACTAAAATACCTGTGCATGCATACAGAATTCATTTGTATATAAAAACTGCTAATCTATTTTCAAAGAGCTATGTTTTGCTCATAAAGGGTTATGCTTTGCTTATGAACAGGATTCTTTATATCCTGTTTGTATTAGCAAAAGTAACAATCTTATGTTTTAAATGATCCAAGGGAATGTGATAAAACAAATGAATTAATTAAGAATTGCATGTTTCCTTTGTAGAGGCAATGCTTTCTAACCCATTTTCAAAGCTTTTAATTTGGATAACACACATATATGCACAAGTTTATCCCTCCTCTTTTCATTCTTCTTTTACTAATTAGCAAAAACTGAAGATACAAGTAGCAACTCTAGGGATTTTTTCTTTTAATGCAGCCTCTTAGTGGAGCAGTCAAAACTGAACAGGTAGATTGGCATCCTTAAGGTTAGGCCCCTGAATGGCAGGCAGCTTCAGTATAAGCTTCACAATGACTGGATCTTTTTCCTATCACACGTGCATGCTTATTTCTTCACTCACAGAAAGTTGTTTGAAGAAATCTGCTTTGCCTTTTTTCATACCAACACAGAATTTTATCAGGAATGAAAAAATTTGCTACTACTTAGGTTGCTCATTTGGGTGGGGAATTTGTGGCCCTCTGGATGTTGACTAGCATCCATGGATATTGCAAGGAATTTGCAATACTGACTCAGCCTTGGTCATTATGATACAAGCTACATCCAGAACGATCTGATGCAAGATGAAGTGTCAGAGCAGATAAAAGGAAATACTTCTTCACATGCAATGCTTTATGAAAGTATTAGTTTATGAAATTTGCTGCTACAAGATATAGTTCTGATCACTGGTTAACATGACAATTGCATTAATAATGGTTAGGTCTGCCAAGGGCTATTTGTTATATTGTATGGCAGCCTTTCAAACTAGCTAGGGAAGCCAGCATTAATTATTTTTATTATATTTTATAGTTCAACTTCTATCATGTTCTCTTAGCCTAAGATAGGGAATGTTAGAGCAGGGAAGGCTGCTACAGTTCCGAGTTCAGTCTCTGCCTGCTTGTTCACCTTCCAAGGGCATCTTGTTGCTCACTATCAAAATTACTGGATTAGATACACTTGTGATCCAATCCAATGGGAGTATGTACACATTCACACTAATTGTCAATACCTTCCATCAAAATATATAAATATAAAAACACATACCTCCTCCTGCCAGGTGCTGTTCACTTCATTTTTAGGTGGATGAAAATCCAAATCATTTGTAGATTTATCCAGCAAGCCCAAAGCATCTTCTGACAACTTTCCAGGATGTTCAGTGGTAGGAATACTTTCATGTTTGTTTATATTTGTAGGGCTTCCCAAATAAACTTTCTCATTTTGAGGTACCTCTTCCTGTTTGTCTCCATTACTAAGTCCTGAAGAATTGAAGCCATTTTCAGTGGTCACCACTAATCCCCAGTCAGCATAGTTAATGTTCTCTTTCTCTTCAGGCTTGAGGCTCAGTTGAAAAGGATTCTGATCCATCTCACCATATTCATCAGTATAGTCCTCAAGACTGCGGTCTTTGCCGAGGAAGGTCAGTTCCTTTAGGCTACCAACTTCCTCTGAGAGGTCACTTGCCATGGAGCGGATCACATTTGATGGCACCTGCCCATGCCCCAGCAAGGTGGTTGGTCTCTGGGAAGCTCTTACCACAAAAGTCAGATAGGACTTCACCTTCTCCATTTTCTTGGGCTCACAATTTCCTTTATGCTGACAACTGACAACATAGCAATGCCGCTCAAACATCCAGGCCAAGTCACAATCTGAAAGATCACAACAGGCTGCCATGCAATCTGACATGGACACAGCACGTGGGACCCGCATAATTTTAGTTGTTTCTAAATTGGGAATGATTGCATCGGTGTACTTGGTGCCTTCCCTGCACTGCTCACAGGAACACCCTGAAAAATAGGCTCTGGTATCAGAAAGAGAACACAAGCATTGCATGACTTTCAAGTAAAGCCTAATTTTGGAGGGGGGAGATCACCATTACTGATTTACATTTTATTCAATGTAACCCAATGAATATCTATTTTATCTTTCATGGAATCTTTAGAATTTTTACTGTCTGAAGCATTTACAACATGCTTAATATTAACTATTTGCAGCTGACAAGACTATCAGAACCCCATTATAAGCTATGATTCATATAATTTTCATCTTCTCCAATGATTCTATAATTATTTCCTTCCCTGTCTCTTTCACCTTTGGAAATATAAGAGTCAGGAGATGGGGAGAGAGACAGAGGCAGTTCAAGAGAGCTATAAAATCAAACCATAAGTCATGCCTTGAAGTAGAACACTCAGCTCTTGCTTAGCAGATAGCACTTATCTCTAATTAAAGCCCAAAGAACAGAAGTTCAACTCTCCCTGTTTTTTTGAAATCAAATATAATATATTTTTAAGTTGCCACAGAAGTCAAGAGTAGGACATTCAGCTACCCTGAGTAGCAAAGCAGCTTGCTGAGTCACCAAAAAAAAAGAAAGAAAGAAAGTCTTGTTTGTTGAGCAGCAGCAGATTTCTCCATGCAAAGCGTGCATGCTACCTCAGAGCCATGAGTGTTCTATTCAGGGCTGCTTCTGTGCCAAATACCTAATCTAGGGTCTGCCATATCTCTGTTATTATTATTTTTAATATCCACTGTAATTTACAAATGTCTAGGCTATATGGATGCAGAAAGTAGGAAGTCAAAAGGGGAGGATGGATAGGTTTGATTAAGCACTACCTCTCCTAACAGCTTTGCCAGCTTCTATGCACAACGGATAATTTTGGCTAGGTACATTCTTACTTTCTCATATGATTTTGGAAGAAATTAACTTTTGTTATCTTAAACATAGGGATAATAGGAAAAAGGGCTTACCTATTAAAGCCCCCAAGAGTAAACAGAAGATTCCCAGACCTAGCCGAAGAAACATCCTTTTTCGTACCAAATCCTGTTCAGGTGGCAGGATGGAGATTCTAAGAAACCTTACCTTAAGTTTTATCTTATAGGGCCTGATTTCAAGGGGGGGGATCTGCAGTGCTGGCAAAACAAACAAAAAAAAGGGTAAAAAAGCCATGGATATTAATTAAAAAGTTACAGAACAAGCAGATAGAAATATACGCATTGCCCTCTAGCTATAGAAGTAGGGAAAATTGTACTTGCAGAAGGGAAAAAAATGAGGAAAGATAAAAGGACAAGATAAATAATTTGTGACTGTCTTTCTATAAAACTGTAGAAGAGTTCTATGTTAGGAGCTCTCATGAAAACCTTTCACAAGCAATAATATATTATTAATACTAATTAAAATATTATGAATATCTCTTAACTGTAGCTCTTTCACAAGCATCTTCACCCAAGATAATATTTGTTATGGTTTATCCACCATTTGCCAAAAATAATTCTGATTATTTGATTATTTGATTAGGTAAATAATGCTCATGGGCTTCCTCCAAAAACCATGATATATTAAATGGGTTTTAGTGCTTATAACCTCTTCCTCTTCTGTTAACAGGTGCAAGAGAAACTTCTTCTGATGTTCGAGCAGAGAAGCAATGATTTATATCAGAGAGGGGCAACTTTTAAAACTTTGAAGGCATAATCCCATTTGCATGTATCCCTTAGCCCTTCTCTCCCTTATTCCCTTCCCTTTCAGCAACTCATTCTAGATTACTTGCTTTTCCTGCAATCCAGATAGTGATGGCCAGTGAGACATGTAGGCGAGATTCCCTCTGGTTCCAGATCTTTGGAGACAGGTCGAAATACAAAACCAGGCTGCAGGCTGCCTGCCCATGATTCATCATTTCTCTATAAACCAGGGCTGGCAAACTGGGATCAAAACATGGTATGTTTGCAATTTAGATTTTAAAGGTTCTTAAATCACCATTTTTCCATTCTTAAATGTCCTGAATGTCAGAGCTTAGTATCTTGAAGTTTTGGCCTGTAATTTCCCTTAATATTTTCATAGCAACTTACAGTAAAAACAATCAAACCCAGCTCAGATAAAATCAATGCTACTTATGTCCCCAAACATTATCAAACTACAAAACATTTTTATTCACCTGCTTTACAAATAAAAAGCAGTCTAATCTCCTCCCCCCCCCCCAATGGACACAGCACATTGACAAAAGAAAAGAAGTTCCACTCATTTCCTTCATAAGCAGCAGAGAAACCAAGTGGAATAGAAAAAGAGAAGTAATGTTCTCTCCTTCATCCATTGGCTTGGCTTTTGTACTAGTTGCAGAGGAAGTAAAGTCCCATCCTCCATGACCAGAGAGGAAGTCTAATGAACAGGTAAAGAAGGGACAAACAATTCTGTCCCTCCTTCACAGCCAACTGACTTGCCTGGAAGAAATTCCACGTACGTGGAATTGCGACTTACTCTGGCTAGGGTTAACAGATCTGAACTGCAAAAGTCTAGATGACCAGTAGATGGCAGCAAAGAGATGCAGAAACCTCAAGCTCTCAGCTTCCAATTAGTGGCAATCTACTTTTTTTTCAATCAGATCTGGTAATCCTACCAAGGGCAGCCAGTGAGTTTTGAACACCAAAACTGAAAGCAAGCAATAACTCCCATTACCACTGAGCACAAGTAACAGACTACAATTGATAAATCAGCTAGCAAATCCATAAAGCCACCCAAAATAAAATCAGGAACAGAATTGTCTAAAAGGTCTTACTTTGAAACCTCAAAGACAAGAATGCAACATCTCTCAAACCTGCAGGCAGGGGATATTCCAGAGAAGGGGTGTCCCTACTGAAAAACTGTGCCTCTTCCTTTTCAGTTCCTTAATCTTAAATAGTCTTGGAAATGAGACCTTAAAAATTAGGGTTAGGGGAACATGGAAGAAAGTCATCCTCCAAGTCTCTTGTTTTAAGCCATCTGAGGCATTCAAAATCAGGTAAACACAATTTTCACCATTCCAAGAGCCAATCACATTAAAAAGACAATGAACATTTAACTGCTCTGGGACTTATTAAAATGCCATTATTAAAATGAAGGTTTACACAACACTGTGATACATGGGGCAAAAATGGACATTGGCTCCCCTTGTTCAAGAGAATCTGATATTTCAGAAGCCACCCAGGAAAAAAAAAAGATGCTCTGGCTTCTAATAGCTGCAGGTCAAATACTAATTCCTGTAAAGAGCAACCTCAAAGCATTACAATTGCCCAAAAGCTGTTCACACCCCATTTGATTATACTTTGTAGGAAGTTTCAAAGAGGGGGAAATGATGAAATGCCAGCTTAACTGGAAAGATTGTTGTTATATCCATTTTGTTTATTTAAAATGTGTGAAGCTTTTCCTGTTATTGTATTTTCCAAAATATTTCCCCATATACAGACAGACATATATGGAGATGGAGATGGAGATGGAGATGGAGATGGAGATGGAGATGGAGATGGAGATGGAGAAGGGGATGGATGGATGGATGGATGGATGGATGGATGGATAGATAGATAGATAGATGGATGGATAGATAGATAGATAGATAGATAGATAGATAGATA